GTAGGAAGCGGCACTGAGAGCCAAAGAAGCATTTCTCTGCACGTTCCTGCAACGAGAGAAACAGCTTGAAGTCAGAGAGATGGCATCTGTCAGGCGCCAAGGCAAATCTGGCCCACAAACATCCTGATGTAGCAAAGAAGAAGAAGAAGAAAAAGAAGAAGAGGAGGAGATTGGATTTATACCCCATCTTTCACTACCCAAAGGAGTCGAAGAAGAAGAGGAGGAGGAGGAGGAGATTGGATTTATACCCTGCCCTTCACTCGGAGTCTCAGAGCGGTTTACAAACTCCTTTCCCTTCCCCTCCCCACAACAGACACCCTGGGAGGTAGGTGGGGCTAAGAGAGGTCTGACAGAAACTGTCCTTGAGGGAACAGCTTTGACAGAACTATGGCTTGCCCAAGGTCATCCAGCAGGTGCAAGTGAAGGAGCGGGGAATCAAACCTGGTTCTCCCAGATTAGAGTCCGCGCACTTCACCACGACACTAAACTGGCTCTACACCACATAAAATCGGCAGTGCAAACAGATATGTGAAACTGTCTCAATGCATCCAGCGTTCCAATGGCAAAGTCTAGCTGCTGGTGGTAGTGCATTGAATCTTGCTAGTGAAAAGGCTCTGCGCTGTTGTGGTGCTTGTATATCGGATAGGTATGGGGCCACTCGGCCTACCGTGAGGGGAATCTCAAAGTCCAGAGGGGAGCAAGATTTGTTGGCTAAGCTGTATAGTCTTTGTGATTCAGTGTCGAGGACTCTGCGTTTAATCTTCTGAAAAGCACCCATAAAAGGGAGCGTGAGCAGTCAGTCCAATGGGATGGCCACGGCAGTTATTTTGTTCTCAATGTGTGGTAGCCAGTTAGACAAACGTCCAAAAAAGAGGTTCACTGTGGCAGGGGTCCCTGCAGGCACATTCAGGCCTATGGGTACGTTGGGGATTCTGACACAGCCTGGCAGGCACAGGTATCAAAAGGGCTGCCGCAAAAGGGCTTCAGTAGCACAACTTGGATCCTTCTGCTGCAGTGACAAAGCAACAATTTTTAAAAAAATCTGCACAGCTCTAACCTGAATAGCCCAGGCAAACCCCATCTCGTCAGGTCTTGCAAGCTATGCAATGCTGACCCTGGCAAGTACTTGGCAAGTAATACCAGGACTGGGACACAGAGGCAGACAATAAGAAGAGACTGGGTTTATGCCCCGCCCTTCACTACCCGAAGGAGTCTCGGAGTGGCTTACAATCTCCTTTCCCTTCCCCTCCCCACAACAGACACCCTGGGAGGTAGGTGGGGCTGAGAGAGCTCTTTTGAAGACTGCCCTTGAGAGGACAGCTCTGAGAGAACTTGTGACTGACCCAAGGTCACACCAGCAGCTGCATGTGGAGAAGTAGGGAATCAAACCCGGTTCTCCCAGATTAGAGTCCACGCTCCTAGCCACTAATAATAATAAAAATACTTTCCATTTAATCGCTTTCCCCATTGGGCTCAAAGCGATGTACAGTTACTCAATATAGACAAGGGACTAACAATGTTTGTAGGGGATAGGGGAGACAACATATATTCATTTTTAATTGCACGCGCCGTCACTGCCCGGTATAGACGTCTTCTGGCTTGGCTCTGTCGTTTTCCACACGGCTGCATGTTGGCCAGGCTTCAGGACCCATATGTCAATCGCTACACTGCCACCGCCTGGCTGGAACACTACACTAAACTGGCTCTCTGAATAGCAAGCCACCTCTCTGAATGTCTTCCGTGCCCCAGTAGGAGTCACCAGAGGTCGCCATGACTTCCAGGCACAGACGCGCGCGCACATCTGCATAGCTGATCGAATCTCCAACAGCCAATCAGAAGCCTTGCGAGGCAAAAGCCCCGCCTGGCCCCACCCTAAAAACACTTGGGGGTGCCAGGAAAGGTGTCAGCCAGGGCCATTGTGCCCACGGGCACCACGTTGGGGACCCCCGACCTACAGCTTTCCAGTCTTGAACTTGCATACAGAAGGTCCCAGGTTCAGTCCTGGCATCTCCAACAATACTCCCTCTAAGCTGTGGAGTCTTGTGAGCAAGCGATTTGGCTACTGCATAAATTAGTTTGCTTGGGAGCCATCCTTCCTGAGCGAAGACAACAATGTGTGAGCTGGAGGCTAAAAAACTGTGGGCTGGCTCACACTAACTCGGCTTAGCGGGAACATTGAAGTAAAGGAGCTGAGAAACCAGGAAACACCTTCCAGTGCCTGAGATCCTGGAAAGTTCCAGCCAGTCCTAGCGCAGAGTACTACACTTGGAGACGAAGGCACAAAACGCTTCACATGTTCGTACACATACATGTATTCTGCGTAGGCTAGCATCACAAGCATACATCAAGCATGCAGGCTGAGTGTCATGCAAGGAAGGGACACCAGATGCCTTTTGGCAACATCAGAGCATGTCAACTGGAACCCAATGACCTAGTGCAGGGGTGGCCGAACTGTGGCTCGGGAGCCGCAGGGCAGCTGGAGAAGCTAGATATCATTAGCAAGCAAATTGACAAATAAATATCATTATCAATATCTTTATTAGCAAGCAAATGATCATTGGACAAATAAATATCATTATCAATATCTGCTTTTACCACTTTTGCTATCATTTTTGGCAGCCTCATTTAATGTTAACGAAAAGCAAATCTGCACATTTACCAGTAAAAACGTGTGATATTTGTTCATGTCTTGCGGCTCTCAAACATCTGATGTTTATTCTATGTGGCCCTGACGTCAAGCAAGCTTGGCCACCCCTGACCTAGTGTTTGGTCCCAGGCCCTCCAATGTTTGCTCCTCTTGGGTTCAGCTCTTGGGCTCTCTAGTTAAAAGATCTGAGAGAGACCGGGAAAAGCTTTTCTCCGCCCAAGACCCTGGAGAGACCTTCCCAGTCAGAGCAGGAAGTTAGGGGATGGACGCTCGAGCGTGTCCAGAAGAGGGGAACCAGGATGGTGAGAGGGCTGGAATCCAAGTCTTAGGAGGAAAGGCTGAAAGAGTTGGGTCTGTTTAGCCTGGGAAAGAGAAGGCTTAGAGGGGACATGATTGCAGTCTTCAAGTATCTGAAGAGCTGTCACGTAGAAGATGGAGCGGATCTATTCTCTCTTGCTCCGGTTTGATGGACTAGATCTAATGGGTGGAAATTACAAGGGAGTCGCTACTGGCTAAATATCAGAAGAAACTTCCTAACTGTAAGAGTGGTTGAGCAGTGCAACAGTCTGCCTCGGGAGGTGGTGGGTGCTCCTCCGCTGGACGTTTTTAAGCGGAGGCTGGACGACCCTCTTTCGGGTATGTTGTAGGGCTATCTTTCGGCTCTGCTCCTGCAGAGTGCAGGGAGTGGGACTAGATGACCTGCAAGGTCCCTTCCAACTATTAACATTCTCTAATTCTGTGTATAACTATCTACTCTAAATGTAATAAGCTTTAAGAGTCTGATATCTGGACTATTTCTTAACCTCATGTATGTTTTATTTATGTTTACACCATAATAAATATTTGTATTTTTATAATAGGTTGTTAGCTTGCCCCTCAGGGTTCCGAGACAACCCATTCAACAGATCTGACCCAAAGTAAACTCCTCCGCCCGCCCCCCCCTTTCCCCATAGACTCTACCTGGATTATCGACGGGCACAGGCGGTGCTTCTCATAGTGCATGGGGTTCATGCACGGCCGATTCTTATTCTGTCCTCGTGCCCTCTTCCGCCCCCCGGGAGGTTTCTTCAGCTCTTCGGCTGCCTCTTCCCGCAGGTTCCCTTCCTGTCCGTCTTCTCCCAGCTTCTGCACCTTGGGAGGAGGCTCTGAAAGGTCACTGCTGACGTCCTTCGTCCCACCGTCGTCACCACCACCATCGGTGTCACCTTTATTACTTCTTGGGTTGTCTTCTTTTTCAAGGTAAGCATGAAACTCTTCTTTTGTGGTGAGGTACCTATGGAGAAAAGGGTTCAACAATCTCTTCTTCTTAAGAGTGGGGTACCCTAATCTAGAGAACCGGGTTTGATTCCCCATGCCTCCACCAATGTTCCCTCTAAGCTGTGGAGTCCTGTGAGCAAAACATTTTACTTTGTGAGCTACTGGCATTAAAGTTGTGAGCGAGCGATTGGGCTACTGCATCAGGTTGCTCTGGAGCCCTCCTTCCCGAGCTATGACAAAAATGTGTGAGCTGGAGGCTAAAAAACTGTCAGCTGGCTCACACTAACTCAGCTTAGAGGGAACACTGGCCTCCACATGCAGCTACTGGTGTGACTTTGGGTCAGTCACAAGTTCTTTCAGAGCTGTTCTCTCAAGGGCAGTCCTTGAAAGAGCTCTCTCAGCCCCACTGACCTCACAGGGTGTCTGTTGTGGGGAGGGGAAGGGAGAGGAGATTGTAAGCCGCTCTGAGACTCCTTCGGGTAGTGAAGGGCGGGGTATAAATCCAATCTTCTCTTCTTCTTCTTAAGAGTGGGGGACCCTAATCCAGACACTCGGATTTGATTCCCCACGCCTCCACATGCAGCTGCTGGTGTGACTTTGGGTCAGTCACAAGTTCTTTCAGAGCTGTTCTCTCAAGGGCAGTCCTTGAAAGAGCTCTCAGCCCCGCCTACCTCCCAGGGTGTCTGTTGTAGGGAAGGGAAAGGAGTTTGCAAGCCACTCTGAGTCTCTTTTGGGTAGTGAAGGGTGGGGTATAAATCCAATCGCTTCTTCTTAAGAGTGGGGGACCCTAATCCAGAAAACCCGGTTTGATTCCCCATGCCTCCACATACAGCTGCTGGTGTGACTCTGGGTCAGTCACAAGTTCTCTCAAGGGCAGTCCTTGAAAGAGCTCTCTCAGCCCCACTGACCTCACAGGGTGTGGGTTGTGGGGAGGGGAAGGTAAAGGAGTTTGTAAGCTGCTCTGAGTCTCCTTCAAGTAGTG